CTCAACAACTCCCTTTCCACCACTCTTGATGCCCTTGCTCTCCTCACTTCTTGGATCATCTCCTACTCACGAAAGTCACCCTGGTACACCAGCCACCTCTGCTCCCTTAAGGCACAGCTGCATGCCGCTGAATGCACCTGGTTCAAATCCAAGTTAATGGTCCATTGGCAGATCTAACTGGACCTTATGAAATATTACCACTCCGCCCTTGCACCATCCAATAATGCACACTCACAACCTTTATAGTTCTGTCTTTGAATGGTTCAGATACTACCCCTCACACAGTCTCCACTTCATCTCTACAAACAGTTTCTCCTCTAGCCCCTCCGTCGCGTGCGGTTTCCTTATTTGGTCTTTGGTCCCCTCTTCAACATCTACATGCTCCCTTTTGGTGACATCATCCGCAGACAACTTCCACATGTATGCAGATGACACACAACTGTACCTCTCTGCCTCCACCCTTGACTCCAGGACCACTGCTGTCCTGACAGAATGTCTGTCAGACATCAAGTCCTGGATGAGAACTAACTTTCTACAGTTGAAAGTTAACAAGTCCGAGGCTCTCCTGATTGGCTCCCATCAGCGTCTCCTCACCTCAGATTCTGACAGCATCACCGTCCATGGTTGCACACTCCACCTCACTGAGCCAGTCCGGAACCTTGGCATCTTCTTTGACCCTCAACTATCCTTTCTACCCCACATCTGTGCCATGACCTGCTCTGCCTTTCCCCACCTCCGCAACATCGCCCGGCTCCACCAGCCTCGCACCACAGGATGCTGAGACCCTCATACATGCATTCATAACATCCAAGTTCAACTACGCAAACTCCATGCTTGTCGGCCTCCCCAGCTCCCCCCCCCAACTCTGTGTCCTCTCCTGCATCAGGCTCCATGACCCTATCACCCCTATCATCGCTCGACTCCACTGGCCTCCCATCACACAGAGGATACAGTTCAAGAACCTGGTGCTCACCTTTAAAGCCCTCCATAGTCTTGCTCCTCCCTACCTGTGCGACCTATTAACACCCTACCAACCTGCCTGCTTCCTCCACTCAGTGGGCTCCGGCCTGCTTCACGTCCCTGCCTTGCCTGATGCACCATTAGCGGCAGGCCTTTAGCCACTCTTCTCCCACCCTCTGGAACTCCATCCCATAATCTCTCCACCAAGATCCCTCCCTTGTCTCCTTCAAGATGCATCACAAGACTCTCTTTTTTACCATGCCTTTGACCACCCTTCTTTCCCCTCTGCCCTCCACCCTCCCTGATCCCGACTGCCAGATCGGGTCTAAAACACTGATTGTCTAGCACCTTCGGGCGTCCTCCCGATGTGAATGGCACTATAAAAATGTAATTTTGTTGTTGTTGCTCGTCTTGCAAACAACGATGGGATTCATTTGAATTCAAATGAGGAGTGAATATGAACGAGATTAACTGGCAGAAAACTACCATGTTTCTTTGAAATAGTGAATTGTTTTTATGTTTACAGTTGTATATATGATTGTGTATTTTTGTCCAAAGTCAAATGGGCAATTTTGGGGTTAATTGCTTCAAGTTTCATAACTGATTCAATCTGATAATTATCACATTGAAAGCTATTATTATTGTCACAGATTTTATGTAGTTGTGCATTTGGAGGTGCTTCATAGCTTGTTCTTATTTTTCCAACTTTCTCCCTATTCTTGACTTCACCCACATCCAAAGCTTAATGTAGATGATTGGTAGCTATTGGAACTCTGAAGTCAACACAAGTAAGTCCAATCCTTTCCATACTATCAGGAACTGACACTTTGGCGTGGAGTTTTGTTACTCTATCTTGACAGTAACAGAGCCTCAAAAAGTGAAATGTCACAATGAGACACCACAGAGCAATTTAAATGAATCCTCGTGGGTGAGTAAAGAGTTTTTTTTACACACACTATGCGTGTTGTTTCCATATGGATAATCATATCTGCAGAAAGGATGTAAAAAACAAAAAGTGTAGCCTCAGAAAGACTTTTTCAAAAATATGTTGAAACTAATTAAGGTGGTAGAAGTAGGTCAATCAAACGTGAAAGATAAAAGGTTGAAGGGGTTAGCATTGAATGGACAACTTACTGTGAGTGCTGATGCAGACTTGATGGGCTGAATGGCCTCCTGCTCTGTAAATCTGAATGATTCCAAACATTAACTAATTTATTGATCCTGGAAGATATCTCATGGGTAAGAAAGTAATCAGAATTGACTAATCTGGCTTAGTTAATTGACTAATGTGACTAACCTTTTACTGACTGCACTGTATTCATTGGTTTTTTTAAAAGACAAAATTAAACTGTTAATAAATTAATTTTGAATATGAATACACATAATTTCTGTGACTGAAACACAATCAAATCAGATTTCATTCGGGAACAAATCTAATGAAGAGATTCTAAATAATATTCTCACCACCATTTGCATGAATGAAGTTCCTCTTATAAGACAACTAGTAGTATTGTAACTAAGAGCTTGTAGTACGACAGAAATAATACTACTACCTGTCTTATATTTGTGAGCTATTTATAAAATTACAACATAATGTCTTCACTGAACAAGTTTAAATAGTGTTACCTTGGTTCCAAGCAGTGGTGCAAATCCACAGCATGTGGCTGTTCATATTTCAACAACAGCAGCAACAACTTGCATTTATATAGCACCCTTCATGCAAGGCAGTGTCTTGGAGGACTGAACAATGGCATAGTTTCACACCGAACCTGGAAGAAAGAGCAAGCTGAACATGACATTGGTCAAAAAGGAAAGTCTTCAGGTATGATTTGAAGATGGATAAAGAAGGGGCAAAGTAATTCAGTTCAACATTACCTATTTGGTATTAAATTAAAAATGTCACTCCAGGGGGCCGGGAGGAAGATCGGTATATAAAATATCACAATAGTGCAGTAGGTGAGTTAGGTTTTTGATATTATTTGGACAGTGGAGGTAATTTCACTCCTCATTTAACTTTTGCTATTGATAACTGTCTCATGCTTGATACTGATGCTGGGATGAAAAGGTTGAGAAAAATGATCAAATTATCATTTTTCCATACCCTGGCATTGGAACCAAAATTCATCAGAAAAAAAGTCATGAATCAGAGAGAAACAACATTTGAAATAATGACTTGCATTTGATCTATGTCAGGAGGATGTTTCAAAGAAATTAAATCGTTTTTATTATGAAATGTAGTGATTAGGTGTTTTGTAGGTGAATGTGGTAATCAATTTGCACAATAATATCCCACAAACAGCCATGAAGTAAATGATCAATTTTATTTGGCCAGGATACCGGGAGAAACTTGATTCTCTTTTTCAGTAGTGTCAGGGGATCTTCAATGTTCACCTGAACAGTGAGATGGGACCTTTATATGAAAGATAGCACCTCAAACAATACAATATACCACCAGCACTATGTTGGAGTTGAAAGTTCTGATGTGAAGCTTGAAATCATAAACGTCTGCCTCAGGAGTGAGAGTGCCTCAAGATTAGCCAGACTGGCACCCTAAAGTCATGTTGAAGAATGCAGAATAGCACAAATAAATTGCACCAATGTTGCAGTTTATTTTGAAAAAAAGATTTATTTCAGAATTAATTTATGTTTTGTAGCCATAACTATGTTGTCCAGTAAAGATTTTGTGTGTAATGTTATGAATAGGTAATGTTCATTATATGGCTATGTTACTGGGTCAACCAACCCCCACATAATTGTTGTATGTTTTTCTGTCTTCTGGCAGCTGTATTCCCATAAGACATTTAGAATAATTGCCTGTCAGCAGGAATTTGAATCGTTTTGCTGTGGTTCTTCTGGTTGTTAACTTAGTACATAACATAAACTTGGTATGTGGTTTTGCAGGGAGCAGGTGGGAGAATAAACATGGTTCATGGATTTTAAAATTAAGAATTAGCCATACTAGTTTAATTTTCTTTTTGGTGAATTAAAATCAGCAAAGAAATTAAAAGACATTTTGATCTTAACCGAGCTTAACATTTTATCCATAACTAAAACAGACAAGTCAAGAACGAGGTTATATCTTTTTCAAAGATAGTGAAAATCCCAAATATTTGTAAGATTTAAAAATAAATTCATTTGAAATCAAAGCAGAAAATGTACCCCAATGCACACTCTGGGGTCCCAAGTCTGGTTCTTGTCAACTTGTGCCTAATACAATGATAAAATAACAACACGATTACATTTGCTTAGCGTCTTTCACGTTGGGAGGATATCCCAAGACGCTGGTATGTACAGATAGAACAGTAATCTGTAACAAATCAGATATTATCATAAACAATAAATAGATTGTACATGGTGTATTAATGATGTGGCTAACCCAAACAATTACATTGTACAAATAAGGAACTAGAGAAGATCAGAAAATATATCAATCTACAAATTGAATACAGACATATGTTGCAGTATAAAACATAGTTCCTCATCGGTGCAACTGGAACTGTTAATAATACAGTTCAGAATTGGTTTGGCAAGATGCCTGGTGAGCAAAATATCATCCTCCTGCAGATAATAGACATTTTAGGAGGTTCACACATACTACAAAACATTAACATCCATTCATATGCAAATTGGCAGTGTTATTGGTCTGGCATCACTGAAAACTATTTAGAAACTACTTCTACATAATAATAAATCATGAGAAACAGCAGTTATAATACTCACTGGAATTAGGGAAGCAGGAATAAAACCTCTATAAAAATATAAAAAACGTATAAAAAGAAAACATCCAGGGAATGGTTATTGATTCCAATAAAATCTCTGAAATTTCCATGAGTAGGTGGGTATATGGATCTCTGTTTGGGTGGATAGCCTAAGCATACAGATCAGTTTTCTCATGTGTCAGACACCTGGTTGACCAAACAAAACTGAATGCAATTTGCAGGAGTTACACCAGCATCTGTAACCAGTGAATTCTAGATGTTTTCACAGCTGACCTTCTGACTCTGCACAGTGTCAAAACAATTTGAGGCAGCAACAAACAAGGTCCTGTAGCTCAGTGGTTAGAGCGCTCACCTCCCAATTGAGAGGACCTGGGTTTGATTCCCAGCAGGGTGAAAGGTTAGGCAAGTTTCCTCACTCCACACGCCTCTGTTCACCTAGCAGTAAATAGGAACCTGATTATTAGTCGATTAGTATATCGCTTTTCCAGGGGTAATAATCTATTCAAAAAAGTAAAATAATAACAACAATTTGGTCACCCAATCCACAACTGTTTGTAGAACTTTGCTGTGTGCAATTGGCTGCCAGGCTTTGCCCACAAAACAAAGTCAATTCAATTTACAGTATAATCTGTAAAGTGCTTTGAAACTTCTAGAAGACGTGATAAGGTGTTATGTCAAATGCAAGGATTATTATTATAAATAAATAAATGCTTGCCTATATTGTCAAATCAATGAGTGCACATCCCCAAAAGTGATACTCATGCTGTATGGTCAAGTGTACAGTTCTGATCACAACAGCATAAAGGGGCTGAGGATGATCCCATGTTTTAGTGGTATGAGCAAAGATTAAACAAGATAGGGCTTTTCAGACTTGAAATATGAAGTGGAATCCTGTAGCTCAGTGGTTTGAGCACTCGCTTTGCAAGTGAGAGACCCGGGTTCAATTCCCGGCAGGGTGAAACCTTTGGCAAGTTTCCTTACTCCACACGCCTGATAATAATCCCTCAAAAAAAAATTGGTCACTTCAATCCATGACTGTTTGTGGGACACTGCTGTGTGCAATTGTCTGCCACATTTCGCCCACAAATATATACAGTCAATTCACTTTATAGTTTATTCTGTGAAGCACTTTGAGACGCCTAGAAGATGTGAAAAGCGCTATATCAAATGCAAGGATTATATTATTATTATAGGGGATCTTATAGAGGTATGTAAAATTGTAAATGGGATTGAAAAAGTAAACACAGAACAATACTTTAGGATTCACCAAGATAATAGAAAAAGAGATCATAGATTTAGTATTACAAAGGGCAAATCCAAGACAGGCATCAGGAAGCTTTTCTCAGAGGGCAATTAACGACTGTAACAAGTCGGCAGAAAACAACAACTTGGATTTATATAGCGCTCCTCACACAAAGGTAGCGTCCCAGAGCGCTTCTGAGGCCAGGTGATTGAGGCCAGGACACTGGACTCATTTAAAAATCAGTTTGTGTGTGATAGGAGCAGGGTAGAGTAGGTTTTCTGGAGGGATGAAATAGGATGGCCCAAAGGTCCTACTTTATCCAAACCAATCTTGTGATCGTGTGCCTTAAAACTCTGCAGACCCTCCACCTATCTCCCTTTGTCCTATTTCCTTGATGTATCTGAGAGTTTCGGGGTTTACTTTTTCTAATATTCAGATAAAATAAGTACATGGGTCTCATATGGTTAATAACAAAATAAAGTACACATGGTAGGCCCTATGAGCACCATATAATGCATTTATTGAATTGACAATGGGTTCATTGCCCTATGGGATTGATGGCAATGTTTGTAGCTGGGATTTCAGTAAACAGGAGACCTTTTTTCAAACAGAGGCAGGAAAGTTATACAAATCTTTCAGCAGTGATTGTTTGGTGAGTGATTCTGGATGTCATGAAACAGGCAGGACTTATGGATGAGTGCGATCACATTGACACAGGCAATTCACTAACAGAATTGGAAAGGAACGAGGTGACATAAGTTAATTGGATCCATCTCTCGATATTTGCTGCAATCGGTGTTTCTGGCCCTGCACTCCCTTTAAACTGTAAGCTATATTCAGCACATCTGAACTGGCATTCAAAGTCTCTCCTAGGTTATCGTAAACAATAACACCAATCCCAATCTAGCCCCAAAAGATTTTCCATTCTATGTGTTTCCAGTGACATCAAATAATATTGCTGTTTTCTCAAAGGTGTTTGATAATTGTCTGCATCACAAAACGCGCAATGGATTTGTCAGTAAATATGAAACGGAAATGTGAATGTTGTTTCTCAGAACAGGTATGTCATTGAAAGAGTAAAAAACCCTTGCTTGACACGGCAGAAGGCAAATCGCTCATATAGGTGTCATCTTTCTGTACCATTTGAAATAAATATTTTTGGGTTCTGCTCCATTAAAAAGCAGAATCCAAACTGAATGTTTTGCTTTTTCTCATATTCATCTGGTTTCAATTTTCTACTGATCTTAGTTCTTTTGGTGGATCGATGAAGCATTCTATTCTTTATCTTGCTCTCATTGATGATGTTGCATTTGATTATCATGTGTCTCCAGATCTATTAGGCTTTGCTGTTCAAAGGAGATACAAGGAGATCCCTTGGGTAATGATTATTCATAAAATAACTCTGCCGCTGCAGATGGGATGTTACAGTCAAATAGTTGCAGAATAAAGATTAAATGTGACACCATTTCCTTTAATTTGACAATTCAAACATGCAGTCTTGCACTGATAATGGTGTGATTTTATTTCAGCATTTTCTTTCCTCAGTGAGGGAATGAAATATACATTTATTTTCTGCACCCCAAATTCTTCAATTTCCAACCAAAGAGAGGATATTGCATTCGCGTTCCCAGTAAGGGTAGTAGAATGAGACAATTTTCAGGACACAAACACTAAACTAGGGCACACAAATTAAATCAGCAAATCCACTTCTTATAAATGTGATTTCAAATTTAACAAAAAGTAATTTTGCACCGATTTCACTCAGGCCTCAAAAAAAAACATTGATTTTTTTTAAACAGTGATTTGATGGTACTTTATAAATACTCTGAAGTCCATTGAGCAAATGAATTCAATATAATGATGCATTTATGGGTTTTATGCACTCAAAATTCCAAACATGCATTTTAGACTCGTTTAAATTTATGGAAAAATCAGTGAAGAGAAAGCTAGTTTGTAAAATCTCAAAATATCCACTGTTCAATCAAAAGAAGAGTTGAATTTTTAACTTTCTCATATATTACCACCTGCAGCAAGTTCAGTTCCAGAAAGGTAATCTTGGAGTGAAACTCAATTAAGTAAGGGATAAGCAAGCAGCCTTGGATTGGTTGAATCTGAACTCCGTCAAGTTCAGTGTCTCGAGTCTTGTCTACTCAGACAGAAATCTATTGCATTTTAATGTATCATGAGAAAAACACGGTTTTCTGGCTACTTTATTTTCGCATTGTAATTTGTACAAAAAAATGCTCCGGGTGTGCACTAACAAAAAAATTTCGTTTTATTTTTTCAGCCTAAACACAATTGATAAATCAAAGGGATCAAAAATAGGTTAATGCTACATTGTTTAGTCTTCTCCTTCAGTGATGAAACAATCTTCTTTCACATATCATCCCAACTGATTCACCTGAGCTGGGGTTTGGGATCAGGGAGGGTTGAGGGCAGGAGAGAAGGAGGGTGGCCGAAGGCACGGATGAAGAGGAAGGTCTTAAGACAGGTCTTGAAGGAGGCAAGGGAGGGGTGTGTTGGAGGGACTGCGGGATGGAGTTCCAGAGGGTGGGGGCAGAGTGGCTGAAGGCTCACTTGCCAATGGTGGGTGGCGAGTCGGGGGAGGTAAAGCAGACCGGAGCCTGCTGAGCGGAGGGGGTGGGCAGGTTGGTAGGAGGTTAGGAGGTCGCAGAGGTAGGGGGGAGCGAGGCCATTGAGGGCTTTGCAAAAGAGACCAGGATTTTGAACTCTATCCTCTGTGTGATGGGAAGCCAGAGACAACTGCAGAGATTGGGTATTTCATATCAATGGTTTCTGGCATTAAAATATCTAAATACATAGATGGTTAGGAATGGGAATAAATGTTTGGGATGTTGATGAAGAGAAATAGTAAAATACTCAACAAAATACAATGGTTCTATTGCAGCTGGAATCAGATCTGGAAACTTGGAAAACTTGGAAAATAAGTTGCAATGGTTGAAGAGTATAGTTGTGAGCATAGAAAGATATTCTGTCATTTGGATTGAATATTTTCAGGGACGAGACATGTACTACTCTGACTGTTTTTTCAGGGAATTAAACAAATGGGGTAGAGTCTAAGAATATCTGTTTAGCTGGACATTTAAAATCCCATGGCACTATTTGAAAAGAGAAGGGAATTTCTACTCATGTCCTGGCCAACAATCCCCCAAATTAATTGTTGACATGTTCACCTACAAAATACAGTCACCACTCTTTACAGTATATCCTGTGAAGAGCTTTGAGACATCCTCCCAACATGAAAATTGGCATAACAAATGGAAGGCTTATTATTAATAATATACAGTAGATTGTACAAATTATATTGAAGGAATGGGCATTGTACAATGGCTATTGAAGGAATAGACTTGACTGCTGAATATTCTTTCATTCTCATTCTTTGCTTCTTTGTGCCTAATCTCAAGCATGTAAATCAAAAGGCATCTGGTGAAGCATAACTGGAAGCTGAGAAAAGGTGCACCCTTGAGTCATTCTCAAAGATGAATTAGCCTCAAGACATATGTTACTGCCGGCTTACAACTTTCGCTGACAGAATGTACAATAAAGGCACTTTGAAGGTGGGCATCTTTGGAGGGGAGGGAACCTGTGACATGACGATGGTTGAATAATGTTTATGTGAAGATGGAAAAATATTCTGGAATTATATTTGATTACATTGAGGAATAGAGATAAATGATGCAGAACCTTTCCTTAGGGAATGGATTAAGTGGGATAGATTCCAAGATTGGATAAATAGTGCAGGGTCTGACGGAGGCAACAGTGCTTTGAGTCAGCCAGGTTTCACTGGCATGTGTGCCAGTCGGTGCTGGCAAGAAACCAACCCTGAGGTGGGACTGATTTTAATTGGCCTGGATCTGTATCCAATTTTTGTAAATATAATGCATAACTGCTTCCTGACTCACTGAGTCGGGAAGCCCACAGGGGTCAGTTCCCTTCTTGACTTACTCTAGTCAGTGGCCCAGTGAAAGTAATTGATGTACGTGATGGCTGGAACCACTGATCAAAAACATTTGGTTTGACTTGAAAAATGGCACAAGTTTGCGCAAATCTGTAGGGAGAAAGGTTGTCAGGAAAGGCCAGCTCACTCGCTTCATTTAAAAAGCAGCTTGATGCTGTGATCGAAAGATGGT